TTTTCACTTTACACTTACTTCTAAAAAATTTCCTTCTCTGCCTATCCTATTTCTCCGCCCCACAAAACTCTATAGTTACTGTTTTTGCAGGACAAAATTCCGGGACTAGGGGTATATAAGTGGGCCTAAATAAGCTACTTTTGCCGTCAGTTGATATAAAATTATCGAAAACATTTTCGCTCATTCAGTATCATCGCAAGGATAGATTACTCTTAGCTTTCTTTAGAAGCGCCCGGTGTCATGCAACTAGTGTCTTAACGGTATGTACAGATTCAGTTAATTAGCTTAACATTTTTTGACTGCCGCATGGTTTCAGAATATCCGACCGTCTCGTGAGCCTCTTATAGTCATCCCAAGAGGCGGACACTGTTCTCGCATACAATGCGCAAAGACCACCCGACGCGGCAGTAGTTTAGTCAGATAGCACTCGCGATCTAAACCGCCAAGACAATGAGGTCATGGCTCAATGGCCACCGGGTAAGCCTTCTAATCAAAAGATTGCGAGTTCGAGCCTCCAGTGGTGTGCCAATTGTGGTTGGGTATGACTAGCTGGTGAGGTCTGACGAGCCAGAAATTGCCATTCCAGTCTCTTTCGTCTTTACCGAAATACTGTCTACGATAGCATCTGTCCACACGAGGATTTTGGTATTTGAATCACCTAACACTATGGTGCGATTTCTCGTCTGGTCACCATAGCTATAATACTCCAGGTTACTGTCGTAAATAAAAAGTTCGGTCTAAACTGCCTCATATGATTGCCTTTTTGGTTCACGTATAGCAAGCCGTAGTTTGAAAGGCTAGTCGGAAGGGTGAGTGGCCCACACCGTCTGCTTTCAAAAATGTCCCGGTCAGGTGATAAGATGGGGACTTATCTAACATGCTACCCTCGCCTATTGAGTCACAGTTGTCACAGGTCCGTAAAACGAAGGTTCGGTTAGCCTGCATTATATCCCGTCATATATGCCGACACCGGTTCACCCTAAAAATAAAGTATGAAGTTTTAGTTGGAAACCTCCGGATTGGTCACATTTAGAAGGAAAAAACCGAACCCCATTTCTGACTGCTACTATTAACGCGCCCTTTTTTCGCTTCTCATCTGCCTTCTATTACATTCTGTCTTTTTTACAGTAGGTCTGCCGTTGGTCTTGGTTTATTATAAGCATATTTGTAGGATGTGTCCTTGGGGAAGTGCCGTCATGTATACCTTAGTTTTGCTCACTCGTTCCATGTTTGTGTTCTGATCACATGACCATCCATGTCAACCTAGAGTGTGCCATAGTATCACAGTGTAAACTGGCACTGCTCATCCCCCAAGCTTCTACTGAAATTGTCAGGATAGCTGAGCCCGACGCCCCAAAAGCACACCCTCCACTATTGTCAGTGGTCGGACAGTTCATCAAGCACCTGGTTATCCACGCGGTCTTCCGTTCACTTCCGTTGGGTCTGTTTCAACCAAATCCACCTCATTCTCTTCCATCAATTCATAATGCATTCTGGAAGTGATCATCTGAACAATTATTATGGTATCTACTTTCACAGTGTTTCTGATTGTCCGTGGTACGACGAAACGGTTTCGTGTAAAGATGCTTTCGGTTAAACCACATTCCTGGTTGTAATACTAGCTGCGTCCGCAGCTCCAGATATTTCCCGACCTCTTGCTGGTAGTTGTTAGATCTGCATAAGTTACTTAAGTAAATAAGAACTAAATACTGATTTTTTACAACACTGCCAAGGCACAGGTTTTTGGGCCGACCCTGTATTAGGCATTTGGAGGGAGGGTTTGGACTAAATCTCGCATACTTTCTTGTGCTCCGTTCATCACATCTACATGGACTATAGTGGTGTGTTGACGTTTCGGAAACGTGCTCGCCTCCATCATCAGGGTGGTGGTGGAGTATTTGTCCTCGCCTGCTGCAACTTATCCTGGTGTATGCACTTGTTTTGAATGCTGAGCAGGTTAATTCCTTTCAAAATTACTGTGTGCGTCATATAAATACACAGCAC